TTGCCTCTAGGGCATATTTCCAACACTATAGCTAACGGTTTAGCAATGAAGAAAAGTAATTATATGGCGTTATTCAGTGACACGCAGGTCATACCATAAATAAAGACAACTCCTATGGCTCCTGCCGGTTGTCATACTCACCAACATGCAAGTCGTTATTCCTATTACAAGAACATGATCAATCTCATACATCACATATCATTCATCACATTCTTTTTGGCCATATCACATCACATAGCATACCCTGCAAAAACAAGTTAGACGTCCTCTAATTGTTGTTTGCATGTTTTACGTGGCTGTTGTGGGTTTCTAGCAAGAAGATTTCTTACCTACGCAAAAGCCACAATGTGATATGCCAATTGCTATTTACCCTTCATAAGGACCCTTTTCATCTAATCCGATCCGACTAAAGTGGGAGAGACTGGCACCCGCTAGCCACCTTATGCAACAAGTGCATGTCAGTCGGTGGAACCTGTCTCACGTAAGTGTACGTGTAAGGTCGGTCCGGGCTGCTTCATCCCACAATACCGTCGAAACAAGATAGGACTAGTAACGGTAAGCATATTGAACAAAATCAACGCCCACAACAACTTGTGTTCTACTCGTGCATAAAATCTACGTAATAGACCTAGCTCATGATGCCACTGTTGGGGAACGTATCAGAAATTCAAAATTTTCTACGCATCACCAAGATCAATCTATGGAGTAATCTAGCAACGAGGGGAAGGGGAGTGCATGTACATACCCTTGTAGATCGCTAAGCGGAAGCGTTACAAGAACGCGGATGAAGGAGTCATTCTTGTAGTGATTCAGATCACGGTTGATTCCGATCTAAGTGCCGAACAACGGCGCCTCCACGTTCAACACACGTGCAGCCCGATGACGTCTCCCGTGCCTTGATCCAGCAAGGAGAGAGGGAGAGGTTGGGGAAGACTCCGTCCAGCAGTAGCACGACGGCGTGGTGGTGGTGGTGGTGGAGGAGCGTGGTACTCCAGCAGGGCTTCGCCAAGCACTACGAGAGACGAGGAGGGAGAAAGGTAGGGTTGCGCCTTGGGAGAGAGAGACTCATGTGTTGGGCAGCCCCAAAACCTCCACTATATATAGGGGCAAGGGGGAGGGGAGGCGCCCTAGGGTTTCCCCTGGGGGGGGGCGGCGGCTAGGGCAGATGGGATCTCCCCTTTGGGTGACTTGGCCCCCAAGCCAGGAGGTGGGAACCCCAGATGGGGCGCCCCAAACCCCCTGGTCATGTGGGAATAGGTGAGGGGGGCGCACATCCCCTTAGTGGGCTGGTTTGCCCCCTTCCCTTGGCCCATGAAGCCCCCCAACACTTGCCGGGGCTCCCGAAATACCTTTCGATCATGCTGGTCATCACCCGGTACCTCCGGAATACTTCCGGACTCCAAAACCCTTCGTCCAATATATCAATCTTCACCTCCGGACCATTCCGGGACTCCTCGTGATGTCCGGGATCTCATCCGGGACTCCGAACAACATTCGGTAACCGTATACATACTTTCCATATAACCCTAGAGTCATTGAACCTTAAGTGTGTAGACCCTACAGGCTCGGGGATCATGCAGACATGACCGAGACATCTCTCTGGTCAATAACCAACAGCGGGATCTGGATACCCATGTTGGCTCCCACATGTTCCACGATGATCTCATCGGATGAACCATGATGTCAAGGATTCAATCAATCCCGTATACAATTCCCTTTGTCTACCGGTATAGTACTTACCCGAGATTCGATCGTCGGTATACCGATACCTTGTTCAATCTCGTTACCGGCAAGTCTCTTTACTCGTTCCGTAACACATCATCCCGCGATCAACTCCTTGATCACATTGTGCACATTATGATGATGTCCTACCGAGTGGGCCCATAGATACCTCTCCATCACACGGAGTGACAAATCCCAGTCTCGATTCTTTCCAACCCAACAGACACTTTCGGAGATATCCGTAGTGCACCTTTATAGCCACCCAGTTACGTTGTGACGTTTGGTACACCCAAAGCATTCCTACGGTATCCGGGAGTTGCACAATCTCATGGTCTAAGGAAAAGATACTTGACATTTAGAAAAGCTTTAGCATACGAACTACACGATCTTGTGCTAGACTTAGGATTGGGTCTTGTCCATCGCATCATTCTCCTAATGATGTGATCCCGTTATCAATGACATCCAATGTCCATGGTCAGGAAACCATGACCATCTGTTGATCAACGAGCTAGCCAACTAGAGGCTCACTAGGGATATGTTGTGGTCTATGTATTCACACATGTATTGCGGTTTCCGGTCAATACAATTATAGCATGAATAATAGACAATTATCATGAACAAGGAAATACAATAATAACCATTTTATTATTTCCTCTAGGGCATATTTTCAACATGTCGGTGGACGCCCAAGGGGCCCACGAGACAGGGGGGCGCGCCCTATAGGGGGGGGCTCCTATCTCGTGGAAGCTTCAACTGCTTCTTGACTTGCACTCCAAGTCCTCTGGATCACGTTCGTTCCAAAAATCACGCTCCCGAAGGTTTCATTCCGTTTGAACTCTGTTTGATATCCCTTTTCTTCGAAATACTGAAATAGGCAAAAAAACAGTAATACGGGCTGGGCCTCCGGTTAGTAGGTTAGTCCCAAAAATGATATAAATGTGTAAAATAAAGCCCATAAATATCCAAAAGGGGTAATATAATAGCATGGAACAATCAAAAATTATAGATACGTTGGAGACGTATCAACCAACACCATCCATCATCTTCCTCATCGGCACCACCATGGCCACAAGCTGCATGATGCGGGGATGCCACCTCCCATTCCCCTCGATTACCGTAATGTTCCACCGAGTCCGTTGTGCAATTTTCAGAACCCTAACCTCGACAAACAACAAAAATCATCTTGCAATCGTACCCAAAAAATAAATAAATGGAACCACACATAATTTGACTTTCGCTTTGCACAAGAGGAAAAACGAACAGGCAAAGAACCCCTTCTTAATCAGGTGCAGGAGGATAAGCAAATGACACCAAGAGTTCAGACATTCGCTTGGAGGCTTCTTAGGAAAGCATTTCCTATCGGTAAGAGGGCAGGTAGGTACTCCAAACATATCATTGAAAAGTGTTCTAGATGTGGACAATTAGAAGATGAAATGCATATGTTGTTTCTCTGCCCTTTTTCTAAAGTTGCATGGTTTTGCTATCCTTGGTTTATTAAAATTGAATCTCTGGCTGAAAATTATCATTCTATTCCTGATATGATTCGTGCTTTGATTACATCTCAACATCCACAAATAAACTTGACTACTCTATACTTTTCTATGGTGTCTTTGGAAAGCTCGGAACGACTGTCTATTTTGCAGAAAATTATGCAAGTCTTCCCAGGTGTATGCTGCAGCAAATGCAATAATTGAAGCAACCAATTTAGAAGATAAGAACTTCGCTCAACAACAAGAAAGCGATACAGCTCAGGAGCAGCTGTAGGCTTCTTCAACAACCACGCATACACATGACTGTAATAACCTTGCAGGGAATGTCATCCTTTGCGACGCAGCCTGGGAGAGACACACATATTCAGAGCTGGGTCATGCTGGCTTAGGAGTAATCATTACCATGCAAGACAATCGGCACCTACAACAACTACATGTCTCTGCGCTTTCGCCTCCAGTTTCATCACCCCTCCTGGCTGAGACTTACGGGCTGTTCCTAGGTACAAAGTTAGCAGATCTTCTGCAGGTTCAGAACCCTCACCTTTGCACCGACTGCTCGGTGTTAGTTTCGGCGGCAAGGTCATCAACGGTATTTGCTGCTTTAGGATGTTGGGAGAACAGACCTCTCCTTGCAGAGATCCAAGCCTCTCCCTCTTTTAATCGTAACAAGATCACTCACATCAAGAGAAGCAACAATGTAAAAGTTGATCATCAAGCTCGATTAGCTTTACGGATTCAGACAAGGTCCTTAACTGTTCGTTGCTTATGTACACAAGCAGATCAAGGTCAATGTCCTGGCAAGGGACATAGTTTCTGGTTCTAGCATGAGTCCTTTCTTGCTTATTTCTGTAAAATACACATGATCATCAATAAAGTTTTCTTGTGTTAAAAAAAAAGAAGAACGGGCAAAGAACCATAACTGCCCTGTGTGTCTCACAGGTTGGGACCAAACACGACAAAAACATGGCCGCCGCACAACAGAATCAAACCCAAAAGGAAAAGGAAAAAAATCACACACACGTTCTCAAGCGGTGCGGTGCGGCTGCGGCGCGGTGGCTCCTCCCCATTCCCAAGTTCCGACCGGCCACCGAGACACGGACACACACCCACCCGCGGCTCCGACCATGGCCGCCGCCCTCGCGTCGCCGCGCACCTCGCGGCAGCTCGTCGACGCCCTCACCGCGCACCTCTCCCTCTACCACGCCGCCAACCCTAGCAGCCCCTCCCCTTCCCCATCCCCCTCCCCCACCCCTCGCGCCGCGATCCTGCGGTGGCTGGCCGCGCTGCCGCCGCCGGCGCGCGCG